GGCGGCACCACTCCAGCAGGGCTCCGCATGTACAAACCCTGCAGCCAAGCCGGGCCTGGCCCCCTCAACTGGCCACAAGGACCAGAAGGGAACCACTGTCCTTTATTCTCCAATCAGCTGCAAGGTCAAAGTTCAAAGTGCTGCTGTGCCCCACAGTGTGGCCACCTAACTGGTGGAAGAGGCAGGGCAAATGAAGAGGGACCCAGGCAGGGCAAGTGTGGGGGGAAAGGGAGGGAAGCAGAAGGGTCAGAGGCTGGGGAGCCGGGCTTGGACCACAAGGACGTAAGGACCAGCTGAGTTTCTAGTCCTCCAGGGAAGGACCAGAGGTGGTCGCGGAATGACAGGAGATCACAGGAGGATCCCTCCCCTTCTTCCCACCTCCCTGTTATTTTCCAGGCATCATACTGTCCTAGGGATAGAGAGGTGCTTAGGCACCATAGTCTTTGCCTTTGAAATGTTTCTATCTAATGAGGCAGACAGAACAGTAACCAGATCACTCATGAAGAAAAGATGGTAAATGCTATGATAGGAATTGCCACATTGTGCTATGCAAGCGCAGACCACGGACCAGAGAACTCTGGTGTCAGGGAAGGCTTGCTGATGGAGGAGTGACCCTGGGCTGGGCTGACAGTGATCTTCCCAGGCAGAGAATACATACATGTTTATATTCCTTCTAGGTAGAAAGAATAGCAGGTGCAAAGGCACAGAGTAGCCTGGGGTATGAGGGGCTCACGGTGCCAGGAGGGGAAAGTGTATGCGTACATGGGTGTGTGTGTGCATACATGTGGACACGTTTGCGTGTGTAGGGCTCCTGGGAACACACACGGGAGAAAAGGCAGCAGAGGCAGGCTGGAACAGATGGCAGTCCAAGTTAAGGAGTTGGGACTTTAACCCGGTGCAATTGGGAGCCACTGGATGATTTTAAACCATTCGCAACGGCCAGACTCTCACTTAAAAACTGTCTCTGCAGAGCAGAAGACAAAGGGGAGCAGGCAGACCTGAGGAAGAACGGCCAGTCAGGGGCCCGGGACCGCAGCAGGTATGGGGGAGGGAGCTGGCCTGCAGATATTCCTGACGCTGAACGGGTGGTCTTCAGTACTGGGCGCGTGTAGGGGGTGGTGGGGAGAGAGCCGGATGACAATCATGCAGATGACGGGCATCTCGCCATCCCACCCTCGTTTCCTTTTCTCCCGACTCTATTCCTCAACCTTGATGTTCACCATATGGTTTTATCCTAAGCACAACTGGAGCTTTTGAAAGGAAGATCTCATTGCTATTTATTGTAGCCATGAAAAATAAATCCTAAGGGTGCTCCTGGCAGGCCCTCGGCACTTGCATCGCACGTGCTCGGCCTGAGTGCTGGGAGCACTCCGTTGCTCGCAGGAGCGCAGCCGGCCAGCGTTGGAGTGGGGCTCAGCGGCAGGTTTAATCAGTCTTGTCTGTGAAACGGGAGGCTCGGTGACCTAGCTGACCAAACAGTTCCAGGCTGCTTTCATTTGAGGAGGTGCATTCGTGTTTAAAAACGACAAAACAAGGAGTCTTGGATTGTAAACATAGAGCTAAACATATACATAAATATATATATATATTTTCTCAGTCATTCAGCACCTTCTTAAGGTCCAGAGGGCTGATCCTGGATAGATTGTGATGCCCAGAAGATGCCTTGTGCCAGTGGCCCTTCTCCTGGCCCTGCAGGGCTCTGTCTCAGGCCTGGTCATCCTGGCTGCAACTAGACCTCGAGAGAATGGCTAAAAAGATGGGTGTTCAGGCGAGGGTGGTGAGCCCAGGAAGAAGCCCGGGAGTCCCCTCCTCTGAGTGCTGTGTGAGGGGGAAGAAGTGGCCTGAGGGGGTCTCCAAGGCACGGAGAAGGGGGGACTGTCAGGGCAGAATCAGTTCTGCTTTTTCCACCTGCGATATGGGTTTGAGGTTTGTGTGTGGCAGCCGGGGTGACAAGGTGGAGAAACACAGACACACAGTGTGGGAACATGTGCACTCATGCAGAATTAGTGCTGGAGTCATTGTTTCTCCTTAATGGCCACATGAAGTTCCCCAACGCATTATGTGTGGGACAAAATGCATCAAAATTCCTGTGGAAAAACTACAGTATAAGCATATAAAACCTTATGTCATTAACTGGTAATTATTTTTAAAGGTAATGTCATTGGCGATGATGGGAACTGGGCACTGCTAGAAGTTTAATCAGTAAGACCTCTCTGGAGAAAACCTGTGACGAAGCCATTCCAAGGGCTCCCAATGGCAGCAAGTCGGCACTCTTCCCGTGGCTGGTTGGATGGGGAGCAAAGGCTAACGAGCGTTTACACTAGACTTCCTGTCAAGATGAAGGCGTAGGTAAATATGCCTCCCCCCCCACACAACTATACAAAAAACAGAGACTACAAAACAAATATCACCCAAAATGTTCAGAAAATCAAGCTGTGTGGAAGTCCGACAACCAAGGATTTAAAGAAATCACACTCATCCAGACAAGTAGGAGAGGTGGAGACGCACAGAGAGGTGCGGAGACTCTGAGTGTTGCGTGGATGGGCATGGAGACACGAATGGGTGGTCCTACAACCCATGTGTGGTGGATAAAAATCAGGAGGGATACACTGGGAGTGACCCTAGCCCCAGACCTGACCACCCAGCCCAGGGGATCCACTGCCAGGAAGAGAAGTCCCATGACTTCTGGCTGTAAATACCAGTGGGGGTTGGGACAGCAGAAGAAACCTCAAGATTCTCAAAAGACTCCTTTTAAAGGGCCTTCAATGGAATTAGGACTCATGCAGGCCCACCCACTCCAGGATTCAGCACCAGGGCTATAGTTGAAAGGGCACAACTGGCATACAGGGAGAAAGTGAAGTGACTGGCAACAGGGCAAGTACTGGGAGACAGCTTCCTCCTGTGTAAAACTCCAGAGACCAGGCAATGGCACTGTCCACTCTCAGAGTTCGCCCCCACACAGAGCAACAAAGCTGTGACACGGGTTGCTCCACCAGCTTTAGGTGAATACCTAAAACTCTGCCCCATACAACTTAGCAGGTGTACTTTTCTACAATAGGCCGTGCTACTAAGACAAGGAATGAAGGCAGCTCTACTTAATATACAGAAACAAACACAAGGAGGCCGCCAAAGTGAGGAGACAAAGAAATATGGCCCGAATGGAAGAAAAGAACAAAACTCTAGAACAAGAACGAAACAAAATAGAGATAAGCAAACTATCAGATGCACAGTTCAAACATTATTTATCAGGATGCTCCAGGAACTCACTGGGTACTTCGACAGCATAAAAAAGACCCAGGCAGAAATGAAGGCTACATTAAGTGAAATGAAGAAAAATCTACAGGGAACCAATATTGGAGTGGATAAAGCTGAGAATCAAATCAACAATTTGGAAACAAGGAAGGAAAAAACAGTCAATCATGAGAGTAGGAAGAAAAAGAACTCAAAAAAATGTGGACAGGCTTAGGAACCTATGGGACATCTTTAAATATACCAACATCCAAATCATAGGGGTACCTGAAGGAGAAGAGAAAGAGCAAGAAATTGAAAACTTATTTGAAAAAATAGTGAAAGAAAACTTCCCTAATTTGGTGAAGGAAATAGACATACAAGTCCAGGAAGAACAGAGAGTCCCTAAAAAGATGGACCCAAAGGGGACCACACTAAGACACATTATAATTAAAATGCTAAAGGTTAAAGATAAAGAGAGGATTAAAAGCAGTAAGAGAAAAGCAGAGATTTACCTACAAAGAAGTTCCCATAAGACTGTCAACTGATTTCCCAAAAGAAATTTTGCAGGCAAGAAGGGACTGGCAAGAAATATTCAAAGTGATGAAAAGCAAGGACCTGAAACCTAGATTACTCTCTCCAGAAAAGCTATCATTTAGAATTGAAGGGCAGATAAAGTGTTTCACAGACAAAGTAAAACTAAAGGAGTTCATCATTACCAAGCTATTATTATATGAAATGCTAAAAGGAATTATATAAGAAAAAGAAGAATATCAAAACAATGAACATTAAAAAGGAAATATATCCACAACTATCAATAAATGCATCCAAATAACAAAGCTAAGCAAATAAGTAGAACAAGAACAGAACCATAGATATGGAGATCATTTTGAGGCTTATCACTTGGGCGGGGGAAGGGAAAGAATGGGGGTAAAGGGCAGGGAATTAGAAGAACAAATTGGTAGGTACAAAATAGACAGGGGGTTCTGAAGAACAGTAGAGCTAATAGAGTAGCCAAGGAACTTATGTGCATGACCCATGGACATGAACTAAGGAGGGTAATGCTGGAGGGAATGGGGGCATCGGGCAGAGGTGGGCAAAGGGAGAAAAAATGGGACAACTGTAATAGCATAATCAATAAAATATATTAAAGACTTTACACTAGAAATGACACATCTCCCAGGTCTGGGACACAAAGCAGAGACCATGGAGCCCCACTGCCACCGCAGGTCACCAAAAGCGCCCCTGCTGGTGTGCGAGGGCCGACTGAGGGCATGAGGCGTCCTGGGCTGGGAAAGGATGAGCTACAAGCCCTGGGCGTCCTCGTCTGATTGAAAATGTAACACCTACCTGTACGATTTTGCATGAAAGAGTTTTGTGTTACTTTAACATTACACTTTCAACCAGAAATCTTTCAGTCTACGTTTAAACTCAAAAACAATAGTTTTCAAACACTGTCAAAAATAGCGATAAAATCCTTTCTCTAGAATTAAGCATCCTAGAAATTGATGTACTCACTGAGCTCCATACTCAGTTCCTCTCTTATCCTATTTCCCAGTTTCAGTGTTTTTTCTTAAATGAAAAGCATTATCCTCACAGATCTTTCTGGAAGATTCTGACAAAAAAAATAAATAAATACAGAGAATGCGCTGTGGTCCTTTCCCATTCTGGTCTCTGTCACGCTACCTCGAGCTTTTACCCCAGACCCCAGCACCCCTGTCCTGGGGAGGACATTGTTCTGGCAGAGCAGCCGGGGCTGCAGGCACACTTACCGCTCCCTGGATGGAAGACGAGCCAGTTCCTTCGTCCTCTTCCCCGTCTGGCTCCTGGTCGTCGTTGTCAGTCCAAGAGGACACGTCCTCTACCGAGCTGGTCAGATCAGGCAAACTCTTAGATGTTAACCTCAGGATGTCCTCTGCAGAGGTTTCCTGTGGGAACACAATTAAAGGCCCATAAATTACTGCATAGCACCAGCAGTTCTAGGTCAAGGTCAAAGAAAACCTAGCAGAGTCAGCTGTGGGCGGTCACGTGCTCCCAACCCAAAGACTATATGCAATGGATGTTCTGCATTTCCAGGTTTGCAAGGTTACCTCAAATGTCAGGGGTGTGAACCCAATTTGAACCAAACCAATTCTCCACCCCCCCCCCCCGAAGAATCTGTGTGTCTCAGATGGGTGTTTCCATGAGCAATCCAAGCTCCTTGAATGTATGATCCTTTGGTGCACTTCTATCTTGCTTTCAGGATACAACTTTTCAAGGTCAACAAAAGCACATGGAACCAGACTCCATTAAGATTAGATTCTAAAGGAGGCTTCCCCTCCGTTACCTTGCTTTTGCATTCTCAGTCCTACACACCCTTTGAAGTTGAAGGGTAACACTTCCTAAACTTTGGGTGGTTTGCTGGTCTCTAGTTTTTAAAAGAGAGCTCTTCTCACCATTTTCTAAGGAGAACAGGTACATTTTTTAACGTCCTCCCCCAATCACGCATTTCGTAAAGCCCTGATGAATTCTATGTCAGAAGGCTTAAACATTCCCTAATTACGGGTCTGTGATTCAGTAAATTTACTCCATGCACACATTCCTTCAGCGCAGGGTCTTTCCTTTTTCCTTTCCTTCTGCAACAGCCATGCTTGTATTCCAGGTGTAGCAATTAAAGCCAAGTTTTAAAGCAGGAGCCTTATTTGATTTAGTGTAGATGTTTCCTGTCTACTCTTTGTTGACGGGGCCTTTTACATGAGTGTTTTTTTCTTTCTGTGTGCGTTACATGCCTGTGCATTAAAGAGGAATGTGCATATTTAAAAAATTGAAAACATAAACATCAACACAGCCCTTCCTGTGCACCAACAAGGCCAGAGTGGGTTGGGACACGTAGGTGAGATCATAGGGCCACGGGGCAATCCCAACTGCAGAAGAGGCCCACAGGGGAGCCGAGAGCGCTCCTGGGAAATGCCACAGCCCACAAGGCTGGGGACAGGGCTGCAGGGCTGGTCCCGGGTCAGGACAAAGGGTGATGTGTCCTCTCCACAGTCTCCCACACCAGCCATTTCTACAAGGCAGACCCGTGGAAAGCTTTGACGACTGAATTCCTCAGGGACTGGCAGAAAAGAGAAGAACAACAACCAAACACCCATGTTCAAGCACAGGGGAACTAGTGTTGGGGAAGCCCCTGGTGACAAGCGACATTGGATGCAGGCTCCACCTTGGGGTACCTTGAGCTCATTCATTTTAGATGAGTAGTTGTAAATACTATACCGTTAGCCCTTATCTAAGGAAAGGAAAAAGAGTTGTTAAACAAAAAGTGAGTTGTTTTCCTCCGTGATGGCATCTCTGCTAGACCATTAACAGAAAAAGAGTTAAAAAAAGATGGTAAAGGTCCCGACCAGTGAGCAAATTGCACAACAGCCAGAGGATAGAACACTTCATGGTCACTAAAAACGGCGGTGCAGCAAACAGTCCCAGATGTCAAGTGCAGCACAGGGAACTGTCGACGATACTGTAGCCACTGTGCATGGAGCCAGGTGGGTGCTGGAAATACTGGGCGGGTGGCGGGGGGCACTTTGTCAACTATGGTTGTGGAACCACCAAGTCGTATGCCTGAAACTAATACAAAATAGTGCTGAATGTGAACTGTGATTGAAAAATAAACGATGCTGTAGCAATGTGCTTCCTGATGTGGAGTCTTATGTATAATATGCTATTTAGTAAAAAGTAGGTTAAAAATAAAATGTAATGACTATATGAATGCCAAGTGCAGTAACACATGACAACATAAGGGCAGACCTCCTTGTGAACAGCTGCACTGTTCAGACCCATTTACACCTCAGTCTTCCTGACAGCCTTCGAGTTTCAGTGCACAGAAGAGAGCACTGAGCTTGAGAAAGAGCAGTAAGTCGCTGAAGACCCACAGCTTGTCTCGGGCTGTGCTGGCGCTCAAGTCCAGGCGGGACTGCCTCCAGGTGCACTGTGTCTTGTGCCTGACTCCAGTGAGTGAACACGTGTGTGTACCAGTCTGGAAGGACACAGTTAACAGACAGTGCTAATGGTGGCATTGCAAATGTTTGTATCTTCTTTTTTTTCCTATTTTTTCCTAGGGTTTTTACATTAGATACAGTGAGTACACATTACTTGTTAATAAAAAGTAAAAGTGAAAAAAAGAGCACAAGAGAAATCTGTGTTGCTACATATGTACTTTGTAGGAACATCAAAGCAAACTCGGATGTTCTGATTTCATTCAGTCAACAAAAACCTCCTCAGCCTGTGTAAGCAAACAACCTGTCTGCGCGGAAAGATGAGACACCCTCTCCAGAAGAAAGTGACTGTTGTATTTCTAAAACAATGCCTTAAAATTTTGTGATGTGGTGACTTGTCTATAATAATGATTTACATTTTTTACTATTCCTTATATTCAGCAAGTCAAAGCTCTTTTTTCCTCTCCCTCTCTTCAAAACCAGGAAATCGAAGCCTGTGGACCGCTTGCTCTGGTTGGATAAAGAAGAGGGACAGATACCATGAGGTACCCGGAGACGGACTTGTTTCCCTCCGTGGGTGAGCATCCCGACAGTGCGGATGAGGCTGAGGCTGAGGAGCAGGCAGCAGCCCCAGCAGCGGCTTGCCTAGTTGTAAACAGAGTGCGTGGGAAGATGGGAAGGTGTCACTCCTTTGGGTCAGCTTTAGGGCCAAGCCCAGTGCTGGTGGCCAGGAGCCTATGGACTGAGAATATAGATGCTTGTTCCTTGGCTCTGGGCTGCAGCTTTGCCTTACAGACGCCCCAGCAGGTGTCCCACAAATCAAAGCCTGTGGCAGGAACACATGGCCTTTTCGAATATCATTAGCACTTTCTATCTTATTTGACGGAGGGGCAGCTTGGGTTAGGATTTGAACTTGGGGGTCTGAAGGACCCAGGATGAAACCTGCTTCTGCCACCCACTACTTGTGTGACCTCTGGGCAAATTGATGAATCACTTAGATTTTAATTTCATCCTTTGAATGAAAAGAACTAATACCTGACTCATGGGTATTATTTTAAGAGTTAAATGCGATGATAGGTGAGAAGCACCTGACACTCCGGGGGCGCCTGTACCTATCGGTGTCCTTCTCCCCTTTAGTCAGTGCATGAAACCATCGGTGGGGCGTCAAACCTGGCTTCACAGGCAGGCGAACGTGTGCCCCTTACTTAGTAGTCTCACCCGAGTGGCCTGCTTGGGTTTCAAGTCTGTTTTCTGTGTGTCCACACATTTGTGCATAATGACTTGACATAAACTTCCTCTTTCCCACTTCCCAAACTAGCAGGGGAAAGACGTGGCCAGGGAGCTGCAGGTTTGGTGGCCGGGGTACAGAGCCTGTGCAGAAAACTCTGTCCTTGAGCCACAGACCGTGGGGAGGTGGGCTGTGCAAACACTTGTGTGTGTGTGTGTACACGTACGCAAGATCCAATGACGCTTTTCCAACTCCCAGCCCTTCTGGTCACATGAGGAATTTGTTTCCCTCCTTGTGGAGTCCCCAGGCTGACCGAGAACATTCCTGGCTCCACGTCCCCTCCCTGTGCCTAGTGAGGAGATGCCAGGGGGTCCCGCGGTATCTGCGGAAGGGGAGGAGGGGCCTGTGAGTGGCCAATGCCTCCACTTCGGGCTCCAGGGCCTCAGTGCAACTCCTCCTGCCAAGTCCTTCCCAAGGCTCTGCGTTCTTTTTTTTTTTTTTAAAGATTTTATTTATTTTTAGAGAGAGAGGAAGGGAAGGAGAAAGAGAGGGAAACATCCGTGTGTGGTTGCCTCTCACATGCCCCCTGCTGGGGACCTGGCCCATAACCCAGGCATGTGCCCTGACTGGGAATCAAACCAGCAGCCCTCTGGTTCACAAGCTTACGCTCAATCCACTGAGACATGCTAGCCCAAGGCTCCGCATTCTTGTTGGAAGCCTGAGTCTAGGTCAAGGGCCTGGGGTAAATGGTATAGAAGGAAGGAAGCAGATTTCTGGGGTAGCTAAAAACATCAAAAGTTCCTCCAGTCTACTTGTTTAACACTCCAAGAATAGGCAATGGACCTTGCAACCTAAGAGGCAGAAGTACAGGATGGGGCAGGTTTACAGTTGTGAGCACACAAAACACAGGTTACTCTTGTATTATTATTTTTTAATTTTATTTTTTTATTCCTCACCCAAAGATATGGTTTTATTTATTGTAGAGACAGAGACAGAGAGAGAAACACTGATTGGTTGGTTGGTTGCCTTCCATGTGCCCGACTGGGGATCAAACCCACACCATTTCCGGTACGTGGGACCATGCTCCAACCAACTGAGCAACCTCGCCGGGGCTATTCGTGTGTTATTATTGATTAATTTGTATTATTTCCCATATGAACAACTGTAAACTTACTTTTCCTCACCCTGTATATAAAAGCCTGTGGATGTTAGGTTCAAAAATAATAATGGGGATAATGGGGGAAAGTAGCTCTACTGGCAAGAATATAAAGCTCACACCGATTCTTCCCTGAACTGCAACTGGGACCAACTGGGATGAACTGGGATGAGGCCTCGTCATAGCAACACTTCACTAGCTCCTCAGTCACGTGGGCTCTTTCCTTGTCTCATCGCCAGCACGATGAGACAATGGAGCAGAGCCAGGACAGCCCGGTCTCTCCTCGTCCTCCTCCTCCTCACGCAGCCGTGGAGTCCTGCAGCCTTCATCCAGGCTGGCGAGACCCAGGGAGGAAGCAGATGCCGGGCCCCCATGTCAACACTATCTTAATGCACACCGGGGACCCCAGCTGGGGTCCTCCTCGTGAAGAGGAGGCAGCCACGGAGGGAGGGGACAGACTCTGCCTGTGCACCAAGAACCTGAAGAGCATCCAGGACACCACGAAGCCCTGCCTCACTGTCTCGTTTGTAAAACCGAGGAGAAAGACAGGGAGGGTGACAGTCACAAGCTTGCCAGTAGCACTGACACTCTGTGACACCGAGCGTCAGAACCTCCCTCCCTCCAGGACCTGGAAGAGGGCACCTCTGTCGCTCCCGTCCCCACAGCCCCATGGACGCCACATCTCTTCCTCGGTTTCTCCCTGGGTGAGCTGCTGCTCTCGCTACCTTGTTCTTCCTCCTGTCCTACCATTCTTACCTTCTCCTTAGTCTTCTTGTATTTCCATCTCCTAAATATACCTTCTAAATAGCCTCATAAAAGGAAGCAAAATACACTGTACTTCAGCTAAGGCCCCCCTTGTGGGCCTGGCACTGTGGAATCCTGGCTGTTTAAATGGCTCAAGGTAAACGTGCATGGGGAGGGCACCAAGTTCACCACCACCGTTAGAAATATTACAAACAAACCACCTACCTTGCTGGCCACGACCAGCTGAACCATTCCCGTGGCTGAGCGAAGAATGGCCACAGCTTCCTCGTGGGACAGCCCGACCAGCAAGTGACCATTGATTACCAGCAGCTCGTCTCCTAAGGACAGCCTGCCGTCCCTGAGGAAACGGAGACGAGAAAGATTCCCTCGTCAAGACATGCCGGGCTTGAGAGAGGACATTTTCCCGGAGCTGGGAGGGTGGGACGGGGAACAGTTATAATGATGCCAAAGAGGAAGTCAGGACGGCCAGACAATGGTGGGCTGGGAGGGCTTCCTTCTTTGCTGTGGCTCAAAGGAGAGAAATGTTCCATCGTTCTAAGAGGTCACCTTGGAACAGACACGTTCTTAAGTGGCCACCACGTGACCCGGCATTGATGGCACTGAAATGTCCCATCCCAGTGGAGACAACAATAGAGGCACTGGGACCTCAAGGTTTTGGGAGAGTCAAGGCCTTCTTTTCTCCATCCGCCCTGCCACCCGTCCCTCGGGCCTCGGTCCTCAGCCGATGCAGAGCTGAGCCCCGAGACAGCGGAGGCATCCTAAGCTCTCCAGGAAGCCTTCTGCAGCCCATGCCTTTCCTCCAGGTGACATGGCCCCGGCCAGATTTCCCCTGTGGTACCTGGACACCACATGGCACGTGTGTAACTCCCCACCCCACAGTTATAGGACCTTGAGGAACAAGTCTCTCAGCCCCTTTTCATCCCTGTGTCCCTATAGCCAAGGTTCCTCAGCAGAAGGATGAACACAAAGAGGAACAAAGAAGCTAATACATGGCTGTTGCAGGTATCGCACCTGGTCTACAAACACAGGCGCGCACACACACTGTTGTTTCAGTTTCCTCTCAGTTAATTACAGCTGACTCAGAGCTTCCTTCCCGGGGCTGGCAGGCGAGCCAGTGGGCTCGGGAACTGGCTCCGTAGGGCGGGTCAAGCCCCCTGGGAGGCCCACTCTGTAAGAGCACTGGGCAGGGCCCTTCGTTCATGGTGCACCCACAGCCTCGTGGGTTCCAGCTGAGCCCCCAAGGGTCTGGTCTCCCGTGAACCCAAAGGAGCCAAAAGCTTTTCACCTCTGTTGCTAAGTATGGATAGGAAATCTGGTGAGTCTGGGAAACCCCACACCTGGGGTTCCATCGTCCCCTCTGCAGGCTTCGGGTTAGCACCCAGGGTGCAGCCCTGGGGTACGGCCATGTCCCCGGTAGTCCCAGACCCGCCCAACTGTTTCTCTCTCCCACCTGTGACCTTTCCCCCATCTCCTTCCTCCAGGGCATGCATCAGACTGGGTTCCATGAATTCAGGCCTTAACGGAAGACAAGGGGCACCAGAGACTTCGGAGTGCCTCTGCTCCTGTCCTTCAAAAACCCTTAAGGCAGAGAAATGCTAAGGACACAGGGGAATGGAAAGAGAGGGGAACAGAACAAGTGCAGCACAAACCGCAGAGAACCAATGCCTGCAGCTTCGAGGAACCGTGTGGTGGGCCCCCCGGGGGAGAGGGATTCAGGACTAAGGGCACATGCAGGGGTTCTGGCCAGCGTCCCTGGGTTCTCTTCTCCACAGCACCATCAAGGTCATCCCTGACCCCGTCTCTACTTGTTTCCCTCTTTCTTCCACCTTGCTCTTCCCCCAGATTGATTAGAATGCCCCACATGTGAGCTACACACCCCAGAGACAGCGGCACACACACATACAACTCCCAGCTTGGGGTGCAGAGAAACGTGGCACCCACTAGAAGTGACTCACAGAGAGCACAGACAAGAGCAGCCCTATGTGAGCTTACCTCTGGGCACAGGAATTCCCTAATTGCCAACCTTGCAAAGACAGGCTAGATCGTAGGACCTAGGACTAACGGGAAAACGGCTACCCTGGTGGGAGTTCCCTAATGCACACATCACCCGGGAAGTTTACTGATGCTCCGGTGGGTAAAAACTGTCAAAGGGCTTCCTCCCTCAATCATTACGGCCACGCAGTTAACGGACCCGTGCAGTTAATCTCTCCCCTCAGTGGTCAGTTAGCCTCCTACTTTCTAGTCCGAGGACCGATGAGCATGAAACCCTGGGACAGTTTGTGCCCCGGTTCTCGCCTTACTTCATTCTCTTTAGACTGAACCTCCAGCTCCTTCTGCTCCACTGCATGAGATACACCTTTGAGTGCCCACTCGGTCTTGGGCAGGCCAGCACTCCTCTGGTTTGCCACCTCTCCCTTATCGGGCACCTGGCCCGAACACTGTAAACTCCAGGCTGCACCCACCTTCCTCCTCAGTGGAACTCTACCTTCACGTGCCCGCCGTACACATGCGGGCTGGCGACGTGCACACACCTCGCCGTGCCTCGCAAACAGGAGACGCTCTCTGCACAGCAGGTCCTCGGATAACATTTCATTCCATGTTGTTTCGTCATCTTGTTTACACGATGCTGGGGGAACTTAACTCTCGTCTCTATCAATTAGCTAGGGTGACACTGCTTTTGTCAAAGCTGCAGCACCTGCCGACGGTGAGTGAGGACTCGCTGTGCACAGAGGCAACTGGCTGGCGTGGCAAGGACACGCTTTGTATTTGGGGACTGCTGTGTCCCTATGACTCCAAATGGACTTCTTCTGCAAGCTCTGCCCACACACGGTCTCTCTTCCTATTTCAGATGATTGTTCAGGCTGGAGAATAACCTATTCTGCCGTGTACACACTTTTGCCCAAGTATTTTAGGGAAAAGTAAGGATGTCCATTATATATCTGTAGTACCTTGTATCTGTTCTTGTTTTTTGTAATTCTTTGTTACATACAATTTCTTGTACCATAATATGTTCAAAAATAAATGCTAAAATTCCTTTATAATATAAAAAGCAACTATCTAAATACACATAAATAAAAAATTGAATTAAAAAATTAAAATGAAAGGTTTTTTTCCCCCTGAAAGTTTGGGCCAAAAACATTATACACAGCATAATATGTAAATTTTAAGATATGAATTGTTTTCAAGTCACGAGGAGGAAGATCCGTTTACTTTTTTCCCCTCCACATCTGCAGGACAGAGACGCACGTATGTAAGTGTGTTAAAAGCCTTGCACCCCAGGTGAGCTGTGGCCGTATTTATAACCAATCACTTTCCCAAGGCCTTAGCCACAGTCTTCTGGGAGCTGGGACGTCAGGAATGTGGTTTTCTGCTACAAGGCACAGTCCCGATAAGTAACCGCACGTTACCGGCATTCCAAACACTTGGATAAGTAACAGGCACTGAAACTCCAAGTGGACTCGGAAGAAGTTGCATTTCTCCTCCTCCGTTTGGCGGAGCCTGCAGTGTCTCTGGCAATTAGCCACTTCCTGTGCTCAGAGGTAGGTTGAATCAGAACTGCTCAGGCCCACGTCCCTCTGTGCTCCAGCACGACCTTGTGAAGTATCATTACCAGGGCTCTGACCAAGTGGGGGTCCAAGCACCCAGGGGTGGGGAGGGGAGCGGAGGGGCAGGAAGAGAAAGGGAGAGAGTTAACTAGTCACCTGTGAGCGGCACCTCCTTCCTTCACTTGAGTGACAACGATCGCGTGAGGTGAGCGCTTTGATCCTCGGCCTCCACTAACCTGAATTCCCAGCCCATCCGATTCTTTAAGCAGCTCCAGCTTCCATATCCGGCCGACTTCCTCCTTGGGAGAAAAAGTGAGCACACTGTGAAGAACACGGACAGACGCGTGGGCACGGCACGGGAGAGTGGGGCGGTTGGGTGATGGGCCAAACGCTCATCACTCGTCCACAGGTAGCGCAGGTGACCACGGAAGACCCAGTGCTGTGGACTGAACCCAAGCCTGGCCGGCGGTGCTGTCACAGAATGTCCTCTGATGACGGGAACGCTCTGTATGTGCTCCATCCAACATGGAGTCACAGCCAAATGTGACTGGCAACTGACACACCATTTAATTTTAACTCAAGATCCACTTACAGCTAGTGGCTAAGACACTGGACAGCAAGGCAAGAGTAACTACTGAGTCCCGTGAGCAGGGTCCTGCTCGGTGAAGCCACCTCTGCCCAAAACCAAGGTGCCACGGTGCGCACGGCTGCTCGTTCACAAGGGAAGGCGAAAGGGAGACTAAGCCTCATCTTGGCGCCAGACTTCAGCTGGTTGGAGCCCAGCTCGGCCGCTCAGTCCTCCTGAAAGTCCCCTGATGCCTTAAAAACCTCTGTCTCTTTGCCTCTCAAGTGGGGATAATTATGACTACTTCCGGGTTGCTGTTAGGGTTAAATGAAATACTTCTGGAAACAGATGGCAATGTTTCCAACATCTAATTCCCCATTCTATGTATATAATAAATGTTGATAGGTAACCCTATGTTACTTATAATAAGTGTAATATGTGTATATGTTAAAAACATCATATTGAATTGAACCTCAAACTTCCTTACACCACATAAATGAGATCGTTGGTAGGAGAAACCCAAAACAATTAGTTGGTGAATTTGTTATTTATCGACTTCCACAGACATTGGTTGTACATTCTTTCGATAACGTTAAAAAATGCTTCAACAAAATGTATCCTTTTCAGAACTGATAAATGTCTGTAAGTCCCCTGCACTGCCGGTAGCCTTTCTGGTTGAGTGCATTCTCCACGGACCCCCATTTCCCTCCAAGGACACAAACACAGACCCACCGCACAATGTCAGCATTCCCTCAGCTACTTCTCGGTTAGAGAAATGAAAGCAAAACTTCCCAAAGTGGTTTATTCTGAGTCTTACTTAGGCTCACCCCTGTAGTTCTTTTCAGGTCTAGGTACATGGGTATAAGTCACAGTGCATTCTTCAACATTTAAAACAAGATCCATCTGCTTTCTTCATCCATCATGAAGGTCCATTGGAACCATTAAGGCCCGCTATGAACAAAGCCATCATCCCCCTAGAAATAGGCAACCTGCCCATTCAAACTGCTTGCAAAAGAGAAGGAATGTGAAGCATTTAGAAAATCTGAAGTACACTGTCAGAAACTGAAATGAAGCTTTACGCAATAGTAAAAAACCAGATGTCAAACAGTCACTGATTTGCAGCAGCAGGAACGTCTGGGGAAATTATTACCAGACAGGGACCTGGCGGGTCCTGAGTTTATCTGGCACAGCACTCGGCGGGGCCCCGTCACCCCTGCAACACACAGGAGGTGCCAACTGTCTCTTCATCCACTCACCGCAGACACATGAAGTCTGTCTGGCCAAATGTAACTTCAGAAGTCACTGGCTTACCACAGTAGTTCATGAACTTGTCAACGATCTCTAATTCATCCAGTGGTGTCCCTTTGGATTCCACGGTTTTTGGTTAGTTGCCCCTGACCCCTGGAACACCTTTCTCTCTTCCCCATTCAGAAGCAGCCTCCCTGGCCCTCAACGACTCACTGAGCTCCACTAATTCAAGAAGACACCCTTGAAAGTCAGCGCTCCCACCAAATGGCAACTCTCACCCCTTCCGGTCTGTGAGAGGCCCTGGCCTGCGGGACAGTCCCACAGGGAACCGACTCAGGGACAGCGATTCTCTGTGGTCCCGGCTCGCTGGGCATCTCACACAGCACACAGGGCACCCCGTGGCTGCCTCCCTGGACCTCAGGACGCATTGGACAAACTAGAGCAGAAGGTGGCCTCACTTGCTTTCTCCTTTGAAAAAATGCCAATGGCTGCCGGAGTCTTGGAGGTATGGGACAGTGCTCTCCCTTCTCTCAGCAAGAAAAGCTGTGGCACCCTTTCCTAAGAGCAACAGGGACCATTATTAGAGTCTAGGAAAAAACAACAACCAACCGTTCATTTTTAGCCCAAATTAGTATAGGACTATCCATCCCATTACCAGTTACACCACCATTCCTCCCCATCCCTGCCCCCCGGTCCTACCCGTCTCGTTAAACAGAACAGGTCAGGGATGGTTCCTAGATGGTGTGGTTCCCAGCACTGGATATGGTCCTTTCTCATTTTTAAATGCTCTTAGAAACAGGACTTGTGACGAGACACATGCAAAGCTATGATCACTGGGGAAGAGTAATGCCCTAATGTGCACTGAACGAGTCAAAGACAGTTTTTGTCAAAAGCACCCACACCCCTACCCCATACCCCTGCTCCTGCCCCAAACACACACAACAAGTTAAAAGCAAAACACATATCTAATAAAAATGGCTTCAGAGGGAAGAAAGGACTCATCTGTAGTACGGCCCCCAAGTCAAGAAACAGATCATTTTTCATTTATCCGACAACGTGAATTTTTTCACAATTGGAGGTAGGAACTATAAGGACAGAGTTGACAGAAATCAGTGCAAGTTTCCGTGCCTCGGAATTTCTCGGTCATCTGATCAGGAGTTTGGAGGGACACAAAGGAAGGATCCGACAGGAAGGGGCAGATGTCATCGGCCTCGATTGTACAGCTGTCAGTGTGGCGTTAAATTTATCGGCCAACGGCTAAAAGCAGTGCTCAGCTAAAAATAAAGTCAGTGTTTGAAGTTTATTTGGCTAAAGCTGGTACTGGCCTAAAACCAACTGGCCAACTAAAATGTGATAATATTAAGTATATTTCCAACTGCCTCCTTACAATCCCACTGGGGTATTCGATACACACCTCGGTGTGGTCAAAACAGGACTCTCCCCCTCCCATCCCAGGCTTCCCCATCTCCATGGGAAGAAATACCATCGTCTACTCAAGATGAAGAGGGTGTACAACCCAAAAGTCAGACCCTAGCCAGGAGCGAGACCTACTGTGAGCTCTACTTGCAAAACAGACCCACATCTGTCTCCTTCTGCTCCTCCCCCCGCCACCACCCTTGTCAAGGCCACAAGCATTTTTAGTTTGGGTTATCACAAGAGCCCCCAATCTGGTCTTCTTTTTTAATTCTCCACCTCCTACAATTCACTGCTCTCCATTACGCGTCTAGGGTGACTGTAAAAAAGCGTACGTCATGATGCACTCAGCTTAAACCTTTTGACAGCTCCCCACTAGTCTGAGAATGAGGCTGGCTCTTGGCGATGCCATGCACAACCCGTCGTGATCTGGCCCTGCCTGGTGGGCTCTCTAGCAACTAGAACTGTGCCTGGCACATAACAATATGCATACATGTCATGAAATTAACCGTTGTAAGATACTTATCCACTAGTCTTACAGTTCTTCAGAAGTTTCTGAGATTGGCATTAACAGGCTCACTCAGATGGGAGACCTGTGTGCTTGCCAATGCTGGGCACGTGAACACTGACCTGGCTGTAGACGCAACTGCATTCTGAAACAGATCCCGTCTAGACAGATAGCTCAGGCTCTGGTTCCCTTTACGTGGCCCAAAGGGCAATGAGCCTTTGTCAGCCTGCTGAGAAAAAGCCAAACCACACAGAACTGGACACTCTGGACCTCCGTAGCACGCTGTTGGAGCGCTGTCCTTCCTACGAAGTGCTGAGGACTGTGTGAGTGCATCTCTTTACGGGAGAAAACGAGGGGGCTTCTTTACCAAACAGGGGTGGCTCACTGAGGGGAGGTACCTCCGCAGCATCTAAAGGACCCCATCTTCTTCTGGAACAAAGGGTAAGATCTCACAATAGCATCTTTGCCCCAAATGTGAGAAGGCACATCACCCAACTTAAATTTCACTGCAGTAAATGCTCTGGCTCTCCTTGCAACCTATTCTGAGACTGTATGCGAATTCCTTCTTATTTAGAACAATCCGTAAGTGATAAAGTAATGTGTGATCATAATGTCAAAGTCACAGTCTCTTAGTCACCAGACCAAAATGCTCAGTTTATAGGTGAGAAGACAGGAGCTCAGAGAAAGGACATGGCCGGCCGCCCAAAGGCCCCAAAGGCCCCAAAGGCCCCAAAGAGCTGGGATGAGACCACCAGGGCAGGAACTCAATGTCCATCCCTCAGGCCTGGTGCTCCTGGGTGCCTTTATTCACGACTAGCTACGGAGCACCTACAGGTGCAAGGCACTGATTCAGGATGGGAGGGCAAATTAAGTCGTTGCCCCTAAATTCTACTGTGGGTGCACAGCCCAGTGCTATGTGGAACACGTGGGAATGAGACATCGATGAAGATAAGCGGGTGGTCCTGCAGGAGCCCAGAGAGGAGGTGCCTGAAGATGGGGCAGGTGACAGGGGCGCTATGGGAGCCTCCTTGAGAGGGTGCCATGGTGCTTGGTCCCCCAGGAAAGGCAGAAGCTAAGCTGCACTGAGGAGCAGAGAAGACATGATGCTGAGAGCCACGTCTGCCAACAATCAGTGGCAGGAATGAGCATGGCCTTTTGGGAGAAAAAAAAAAAAGGAAACTACTTCAGCCCAAATCAGGGAGGCAGAAGGCACACCCATGACGACACCTGCCCTTCACAAGGGTCTCGCTGGTTGCTATGGGACAGCGGATGATGGGGTCAGCATGCGGGCAATGAGATGGGTAGGGGACTGCTGTGACCACCCAGATGAGGCATGAAGACAGCCTGGCCCCGACCTGAAGTTGTGGGAGTTGGGGAAAGAGAAGTGGGGTGAGCAGGGACATCCGAAAGGGAGCAGGAGTTCAAGGGACTTGGTGGTTGAGTGGACGTGGTGTAAGAGAGAGGGCGGCATTTCAGTTGACAAGAGCGTATTAGGATAAAGGCACTTCTCAGGACATGGGACCGTCGGTGCAAAACCAGGGGACGTTCTGGGCAAACCAGGATGAGGGGTGACTTGCTGGCTCCCAGGTCTGTGGTTTGGACAGCCTGGGGGCGGTGAGTCCTGGAGCACTGGTGCAGACTCGGTGCTGCAGGCAAGGGACGCGCCGAGTTTTAGGCAGGATGGAGACGTCTCACACAGGTGGTGGAAACTCGGGGTTCAGGAGGGAGGTGAAGGTGCAGACACAGACGTAGGAGACATTACCGTGCGGGAAGACACAAGTTCACTCAGCGACCTTGCGGGCTTCCTGGAAGAGGGACATCCTGATGCTGCATTTGCTTATTGCAAATCTTGGGGACCACCAGGGCGATGATGTCCTGAGTGTCAGTCTCCAGAGCTTCCCATCCTTTCCTGCAGATTCAGACCTTCGTGAGGCCTCTGCTAAAGGCCTCAGGAAGAGGCCTGGCACTGCGCAGGGCCGATCACTAAGACCGCAAAGGGACCGCCAGAGCCAGGCGCCAGGAGTGAATAAACCTGCCTGCCTGGCCGATGGTAGGACTGGTTTTCTTTGTTGCGTGACTACCTTTGGTTGCATTCATTTGTACCATGCAGCGTTACAAAAATACACATATATCTAAACAGGCCTGCAAAAACTGTCACCTTGGGTGACAGTGAGTGCATAACAGTGAATGCATTTCTAAAACTGCTTACCTATGTCCTAGGAGATTATCATGTTTTGGGTGATAAGCCCAATTTTTTAATCTGTTTGCATACCTATCATGTGTTAATATTTCATAGAATCATATTGGATTTTTTTAAAAAATGAAATATTTGTTAGAGGAAATATTTCCCTACAGCTCTGTTAAAAACTGAATATAAAAACATGTAACAAATAAAGGCCTATGAAAAAGAAGCACCTGACAAAATTGGTCTCGACGATCATTATAAACATTTTCTGTAGTTTACTAAAGCTTTGCAGATGTGTTAAATCATTAATAAAGCAGACACAGAACAATGCTGACACAGTTACTCTCCCATTATTCAAATGGAATGGAATGTTTTCCTCCAAAGGCTTAGAAGGTAAATAGCTCATTTTGTAACTAGAGGTCCATTTTAGCACGGCTTTGGGCTCATCCCAGAGTAAAAATAAAAAGCCACTCAGCTCAAGGACCGGATAACTTCCTGTGAAGGTCCAGTGGCCCCAGTCTGAGTGCCACCTGGATGTGGGGGACGCTATTTCTTGCCGTCTGTATCAATTTGGGATAAATGCATCTAATGATAATACTTCTGGGGTAGAAAAGGGTGCTAAAATATTCATGTGTAAGAAGGTATGCGGCCCGTTCTGACGGTGCAAGACCAAAAGCCAATAATCAGTCTACAGATTACAAGCAATGATGCAGAAAGCAAGTTCCAGATGGCAAGTTTCTTCTTTCTACGGGCAGGTGGCTTTAAAAAATGCCCCATGGGCCACTGGTTTTTGTCTCACCATTTCACTGAAACTTCTGGCACATTTGACCTTGAGCACAGAATTCAGGTACTCTGATAGGTGTAGTTTTCAGAGAGTCCAATCCAGAAATTCAATTTCATGTTATTGCCTTTTATTAAGATAAGCAGAGGATGGTACTTTAAAAGTCTGATGTGTTTTTTTTCTTTTAAAACCATTCCGAATTATTTCCACTTATCCTACAACAAATCAAAGCCTGTTCTTTAAGTGGCGTGTGAGAGTCAACTTTAAACCATCAGTCCCTTAAGCCTCCAATAGTATTAAGGATGTCAATACTCCTTCACTTAGCTTTTTCCACCCCAGGCTTTCTGTGTATTTACAATCCAACCATTAGGGGGGAAAATCATATCAAGGTATGGTATCTATTGATAGGGACACACTGTAATACAGGGATGACCTGCTTCTCAAAGGTTCATGTTATTAAACAAACCTAGGCCACTTCATTTTTACAAGAGACTTACAGTAGACCTGTTCTCAGTGACTGAAAGAAATCCAAAGGAGGTTTTTGCATTTACAAGAAAAGGCAAAAAGGGGAAACAGTGCCCGGCATTTGTTCCACAGGGGGTCTTACAGAGGAGCCATGGCCCCTGGACAGTAGGAGCGGCACTGCTTTCACTGCGCGCTGGTGTGAGTTCAGATTCTGTGTGTTCTTTGGTACGATTTGGTATAATTTTGGGGGTCTAGGAACACTAAAAATGTCCCCATGTGAATTAGTAATATTTTAATCCTCACCAAAGAATATACTCATAGATTCTAGAGTGAGGAGGGGAGGGGGGAGAGGGAGGGAGAGGGAAGGAAAGGGGAAGACGGACAGAGAGGGAGAGATTGACCAGTTGCTTGCCACATGCACCGACTGGTCCACTCTGACCAATTGATCCACCCAGCCAGAGCAGGGCTGTATTCTTATTGGCCTTAATTTGGGGGGTGGGAGACATTAAAATCTTTTTTTGCCCTTAATCCTTTTTTGTGGGGAGCATAAACTAGTCAGGAAAATCACTGATAAGAGGCATTAGTTTTTCTTCCTATCTGTTGACACTTCCATCTACAAACAGGCCTCCTCTGTGTAAGGCTTCAAGATGACCCCCTAGCTCTGCCAAAGAAAAAACAGCATCCTCTAAGAGAGCATTGTTTTGATTCTTCTCAACCCAGTCTACGGACTGGCTACCACTGCAGAAGTGTGCGTAGCACAGCCTTTAGAAATGACACAATTACACGCGCTCACAGGACTCCGCTTCCCAGCAATGCTGAGCGGTATACTCCCCCTGGGCCCATTTTCCACCTTCCCAACTTTCTCTTTCATCCCTACGAGTGTCTCCTGAGTCAGAGAAGATGCCAATCAGGAACCACTCAGGACGTTACTGCTTCAGGAAGAATCCATAGCAGTATCTGCCAAAAGGATTCCTGGAAAGAACATGCTGATCCTAAAGACATGTAACTTAATGAGAGAGTGCTGGTTACCATGGGGGGAGGGAGCAGTGGGAGGGACGGTTTGAGGCTGGAAGTACACCCACCACCATTCGGAACAGACCACATCTGCTTTGCCTTTAGGCGGCAAGACCAGCCCTGACCATCACAGCTGGATATCGTAGCATCAGAGATTTTTGTGAAGTCTCTAAACTTCGCTGGAATTCAGCAATGTAATAACATGACCCCATGAAAACGTTTCTGGTTTTGAAGTGTTAAAAATAAAAGCAGATGCTTCCCTGTGTGTTGGACATCCTTCCTGTGTAATGCCGAGGCCTGGATGTTTATGCTATCAGCTGCCACCAGGAATTCTTGGCCTTGCAGTGGCAAGTCCCCTGGTGACAGCAGTGATAAATAATGATGCGGTTCAAGTACTTCATCTGGGTCTCAGATGACTCAACTCGTACCACAGAAGGCTCGAATTTTCCACTTAGGATCACTCGACTCTCTCTTTATTTAAGTAGGATAAAATGACTTGGATTTTTTGCTTGTTATTGTTAGTCCTCTGATCATTTATCTTAATATACTTATTGGCTTCTAAATGCAAGGTCACCTTAGACACATTTTCTAAACTTTAAAAGCAACTTCAAACAATATGACTTCAAAGACTCAGGTTCTATAATCAAGCCAAACCTTACCCGTGCCAGGCAGTCACTTGACTGGAAGTCCGTCTTCCCCGATTTTGAGAAGTGGCGTTTGTCATTACTTGTGGGCAGAGAAGCATCTGTCTTTGGAACGCTGTGCTCTGTCCCTCTGTCTGCTTCTGACCTGTCTGGATGGGATCCAGCCACCTCCTTTAGAGAATCTGGGCCGTTTTCTAGCTCAAAGGCATGACCATTGCCAAGTTCAGGGTCTGGGCCATTGTCCGGCTCAGAGATGGGGTCATTGTCCAACTCACAGCCAGTGCCGCTCTTGGATTCTTCAGTGGCCTTGTGGGTAGAAGGCCTGGAAATGACTCCGAACTTCCTTGTTCTTTTTCCCTTTTTCACTGCTCGGTCACCCAGCTCCAAGGTCGGTGTCTCTCCGGGTTCAGAGCTGTTGCTGCTGTTGCCATTGTAAGGAGAATGGACTTTGTGCTTGAAGCGACGCAGCATGATCAGGTAGATAAAGCCGCCATTCCAGCACTGCTCAGCCAGGTAACTGCAGCGAACAGAAAACTGCGGTTAAGATCCTCAAAACATCCCTCTCGAACAATGCAGCGGGTTGGTGCGCTGGAAGACCCACGGAGGGGGCCTTCGTGATTAAAATCCTAGCCAGCAGATTGAGGTACTGAGCTCCCTACAGAGACTTAACACTCATTTCATTCTTTTAATCTATATAATTGTTGATGCTAAAAACGACTCCAAAACCAACCAGAAAAACCGAATGAACTAGAAATTACTAATGAAAGTGCCCCAGGATAGGTAATCAGAGAAGGATTTTCCTATTAACAGAGCCAATCCTAACATACCATAAAAAAAAAAGAATCCCCCGCTCAGCAACTTCTTACATCAGAATTATTCTAGCCTCCCATTCATACAGTTCTGCTATAATAACACTGGGGTCCCCAGGGTAAAGAACTGGTAAAACAGCTTTGGGGAAATGTTCAGTTCTGCTCTTAGGATCAGAAAAATCAACTGCACGACAGGAACCTCTGCGGCGCAGCAGTTAAAGTGAAAAACCAAGTGGGGGTGTTGGAGGGTGTCAAGATGCGGCCAGCGATGAGCGCTGGCATGCGTGTCCTGTGTTAAATGAGCATCAGCTCATTTCTGGGTAATGGCTCTCGTCTTCCTTGTTCACGGCACACGTGGAGTGCCGTTGCCAGTCCAGGCACCGCATTAAGAGGAACGCTGACAAAGTGCAAAGCACACACATACATTGAGGGACCAGGACAGAAAAAGGGGCTGTAGAAACCCGGTGAACCAGGAATAGTGGGAGGGAAGGGGGACCCTTCGTCTGAGAAAAACAAGGGCCAGGCTCAGTTATTTTTCATGCATTTTACAGCTGCCAAACACTCAGAAGCAGGAAACAATATCAATGAGATAATGTACGTGAAGCCTGACACACAATACTTCTCCAGATCTTAAAGAATAACAAGAAAATAGAACATGAAATAAGATGGGTAATTAGTGGTGATCAGACCAGCTCATTAAAGCTTCAGCAAAGAAAACACTTGCTCAAAGCCAGGAAACCAGGCTGGGCTGGACCCTCCAGCCCAGCCACTCAAGATAAGGAAGCACGAACCCCAGATGAACCCAGGGGCTCGCCACTGGACCCTTGCCACATTCTGCACACCACCAGTTCCCAAGAAAACAACATCAACAACCAACTCCTTAATGAGTCAGATCTGCTTCTGGTCCTCATGCGCCCCCCAAGAGAAAGCGTTCATCTTCTATAAGTGAAAACAACTTTTCCAAGTATGCCAAGCTAGCCATGTTCCCTCCAGGCCTGAAAACCAGACTTGAAAACCAGACCCGAGAGCTGGAGTGAGCAGCGCGTGGGAAGGGGGCCAGGTCGTAAAAAGAGGTGACCAGCTGTGTTTAATACTAAGTTCTGGGCCAAAAGGCATATATTCCTCGTACCTAATACAATGACAGGGACCATCTCACTGAAAAAGAGAATAATTCTGAATTTGCCATGGAGTAAAGTGAACAAAACAGGAGGGTCTTTAAATAGCAACCAAAGCTAATAAAAACTCTGTGATCCTGGGCTGTAAACCACGGTTAACGAAGGCGCACGTAAAACCCAGGTAGATGAAAGATACCACACGAGACTCAGGTTGTTCTGCGAAACACAGTGGGGGCAAGAGGGAGAGACCAGCCCACCGGGAGCACAGAAAACGAAAATTAAAACTGGTTTTCAGTGTAATTTTTCTACAATGTTTAGATTTTTTAAATTTCCTTGGATTGTTGTGGTTTCTTTTTTCATACAGGAAAAATTCTTAGAAAGGTAGGAAACCCTATCAGCGGTTAGGCAGGTTAGCCAGAAACAAGGTTTCTCTGAGCGAACCACTACTGTGAATGCAATGCGCATACTCAGATGTTATGAAGCCTGGTGTGTGGTAGCAAAAACAGGACCAGGATGAGAGTTAGACACGCCAAGTTCTGCCTTGGGCCCAACCGTGCAAAACACAAATTTCCACCACCTGACAAACATATAGACAACATGTGGTATCTCCAGATGATGGAATTATTACTTGGTGGTAGAAAGGAAGAAGTATCTGCTACAACTCAGGTGAAGCTTGGAAACGTTACGCTGAGTAAAAGATGCCAGACCACCTATATGATGCCACTTCCAGAATCCATAGAGATGGCGAGTAAATTAGTAGTTGCCAGGAACTGGGGCAGGGGTGGGGATCAGGACTGATTGCTACCAGGTAACAGGGTTTTCTGGGTGGTGATGGAATGTTCTAGAATTAGAGAGTGGTGATGACAATACAACACAGTGAATACACCACGCTAAAACGGTGATTTTTATGGTAGGTAAAGTATGCCTCATCTAAAGAGAACGAGAGCAAATAAAACAATACGGGCCAAATTTTGAGTTCATTTTTTGAGTAGGTACTCCCTAAGAATGATTCCTAGAAGAAGAAACTGAGGCTCAGAAATACGGATTCGCTTGCCCAGGTTCACATGGCTGCTAACTGGGAGACCCAGGTCTGTCTGCTTCCTAAGCCCAGGTCATCTTCTCGGGGCATTTCTGCTTCTTCAAGTGTTATCCTGCCAGTGCTGCAGTTTCCTCATCTGGAAAATGAGGCATTATACTGGGTCCCCTAAGTGGCTTTCGAATGATAATGATTGTGGATGCCGCTGTCCCGGGACAACTGTGGGGGACAGAGGGCAAGCCACTCCAACACCCTGATCCAGTGTTGAGGACAAAGTGTCACCCTGGAGGAAATAGGAACATTCCTTTTACGTCCAAGTCATCCCAGGGGCCTCTTGGACATCTCCCAACAACTGGAAAAAGATTTTACCTGGAGGGGCAAGTCCTTTCGAAATATGTTTAGGAATCTACCTGTTGTACTAAAACTCTGAACAACCTCAGTTGTTTGGCAGGGACCTTCTTTCCAGCACCCCAACGGCCAGCCCGCTGATGCAGAACAGAGGCTCGTGAATATCTTTCCTATTGCTGCTCTCACAGACGCTCCCGGAACCTTGAAACCCTCCATGACTGGGGGTATTTGATGCCCTCTGCAGAGTCCTCACCCAGCAACATTACAAAGCAAGAGGACTTTATCTTTAGTTGGGCACCATCTCCCTCCCTCTCATCCCTCCCTTGGCTTCCTAGCAATAAATTAGACCCTGACACCTTCAGGGAACTGTCCGACAGGTTATTTTATTCCTTCCTGGACACGGAATTTGCTAAGGTCATCCCAAAGATGAAGAACAATGAATGAATTATGGACGCTTTAGCAAGTTGGGGAGAAAGAGACTTTTAGGCAAAGGGTAATTTTCTTTCTTTTTTTTTAATTATTATTTTTTAAATTTATTTAATTATTGTTCAAGTACAGTTGGTAATTTTCTTATATGTCATACCACCACCTTCCCTTCCCGCCTGTGTTGCAGTAACTTTCCTACCTTTTCCAGCACCTTTCTGGCTAATTCATACCTCCAAATCCTTTTTTCTGTTCAGAAGAATTCTCATCCATCATTGGAATACAGTAATTTCAAATCAACATTTAAGAAAGAAGAAATGGAATGCAATCACATGACTTCGAAAAAAAGAAAAGGTCTCCTACTCATGATCGATGGGTAAAATTAGAAGCTTTTCTACCCTATGATTATTGTCCTATCTGTTCTCTGGCATGTGAAATGAATTCAATGAACATGTCTCTGATTTTGACCATCCCAGGATGACCTAAAGATAAATGAGGAAAGACTAGCATATCCAGAAATGAAGTTCCAAATTCTAGCTTAGAAACCCCTTTCGGAAATGTGTGTGGTTCTCCATTCCACTTGGCCTTTGTGTGTATCTTTTCAGAACTGATCCCTTCCTCCGTCCTGTCTCTCAAACAGAGTGCTTTCTGCAAAGAAAACTTTGAGTACCTCCTCTGTTTCCCGATGCTCTGTCCTATTCCTGGGGTCTGGGCTCCCCGGGGTTGGCAGGGGAGGTTGGGTCTTGGAAAAGCTGAAGCCTGGAGTTTAAAGAACAAGAAAATGGGGAGGTAGGAGATACGAGAGGGGCAAAGAGGTATTAGAAGGCCAAAGGCACACATTATTTATCCATGCCCTGATTCCATCAGAAGAGCGCTTGAGGCAACTATAAAAGTTTGATATCCTGGACTGTTTTGCCAAAGCCTTTGGAAGGAGCAATCTCCAGGTGCCTTTGAAAGTCGTCTCGGGCACTCAGCCATTGGTTACTGATGCCTGGCATGCAGTGCACACCATGGGGCGGGGCGGGGGGGGCTCATGCCAAGCTGACCCACGAGTGTGTATCTGTGTGTAACTGAGAGGAACCTAGCTCACCACCACTGGGTGCTGGCCTGTCCGTAATCCCATGAGAAGATGATGGAGCTCAGAGAACACATGAAAGAAGTCTGGAATTCAGACTTTTTACCAGGGCCGACATTCAGCTGAGCATGTCAAGCTCCCAGGAGACAATGGGAGAATAAACATTGGCCGCAAGAAGATGTTTATAGGCACTTATTCTGACAGAGCCTGGGTTTTATGGCGTGGAGCCAGCTGCTAAGAGCCACCTGGCCTGACAGGCAGGACGAAAGGAGATCCATCTTTCTGGCCTGTGATCTCCTCCTGCCTCAGAAGTGCAAAGAGGCTGGAGAGCTGTCTGTGGTCATTTGGAATCCTGCTAAGCCGAGGGAACCCAGAGGTCTGCCTGAGGCTGTGTGTGGATCTGTGGGTTCCCGAGAACAATGCGTCGAGAGGAAGTGTTAAATACACACGGCTTCATTTCCCGGTGAAGTCTTGGCTGGGAAACAGAGGGAGGCAAGTGTGGATAGCTCTGTACGAGGGGACGGGAAGATGAAAGTCATTATTTCTTGGAGTCACTCTGTACCCTGGTTCCCAAAGGGCAGTTTCTCGTGGGTGTTGCCTCCCAGTCACTGGGAGCGAATTTTGGACACACTTCTCCCAGATTCCACAGAATCTTTCTTTGGAAGACTCTGAAGGTGGATGCTTTTGGCTGAGTATGGTGCTGATAAGAGT